CGTCGCATAAACGCCGACGTACTGCTCAAGCGGGACAGCTTGGACATCCTTGTTGTCCGCTGACTCAATCGGCTCTTCAAGCTGTCGGCTCAAGACATCCTGGGCTAATTATTCCCGAAGGTCTACCTCTGTATCCTGTCTTCCTGACAAGGTCGGGTCTGCCCACGGGATTGCCCCCATCCTGATGTGGTGCAATCTCGAAGCGCTTTCCTGCAAGATACTCTCCCTCCTTCTCTCAAAGTTCCCTCATCCGAGTCTGTCCCACCTGTCTTCTGAAGACGATGGTGCCCTTTCATTTCTCGATGAAGATGCTCCCGACTCCTTCTCCTCGTCCCTTGGGTTTCTCTTGAACTTCCACGGTGACTTTTTCTCACATGCGACTTCTGACTTCTCCTCCTTCGTCTCTTCTGCCGGTGCTGGGCAGCTCCTCAACTTTAGTCTCGAGTCGCTATCCTCTCGTTCACCAACTGCACCATACGATCTCCCGCGCGCAACTTAAGGGCAAGCTTTCCACGATTGCGCAGCAAGACCGTCACCTCTCCTGTGTAATCATCGTCAATGACTCTAATAGCAACTCCATACCTCGGGGCCTATCCTGCCGTGAGCGCCCTCTGGAGCGCAACTCCGGCCCAAAGACCTTTTCGGGGCTGTCGCCCTGTCATCCATAAGCCTGACGTCCAGGGCCCGTGGGCCAACCTTCTCAGTCAGTGTCAGTGATCTCAGGCCACCATCAGCATCAGGCCGCCCAGGCCAACTGCCAACGTGCACTCTCCAGCAATTTTCCATCGCGTCCCCAAAATTCTCTTTCGATTGTTTCAGACGTCAGGTAGCTAATCAGCAACGCCGTCAAGATGTTCTTCATACGCCCTGCAATCTCTGCCGTCTTCGTGATCCTCTTCAACTTCACTTGTGGTTCAGGATCCTCCTCCTCCAGACCAAGCATCTTCAACTTCATGACGCGTTCCATGCTCAGCCTGTCCATTCAAAGCTTTCGTGGCTTGAACTCTGTCACAAAGAGCTCTCCTTCTCCTTCGCTCCAGAACGCTCGCACGGATCCTCAGCCGTCTGGTCCGCCTCGACCCTGTCTGTCCGGTAGCCAGAAGCAGCGCAGCGCGGTCGTCATTCGACATCTCAACCGTGGCTTCACCTTCAAGGAGCCCTGCCAATGACTTCGCACACCTAGCCATGGTCAATGGTCAACGCTTCCATCAATGCTGACAGCTCGCGTTTGGCGATCAAGGCAGCAATCAACGTCATGGAGTCTTCTTTCTCCAGTGGCTTATAGGGCACCTCCAAAGCGGATGTGGGATCCTTTGCGAGCCGCTGCGGCTTTCGGCCAACCGAATAAACACAATCTGGTCGCACCGTTGCAGCAACCACCTCCATCCCCCACGCAATCCTTTAGTTTCTTTCACTTCTTGCGCCGTTGGATCTTGTTCTGGCATCATCACAAAGGCCACGCTCTTATCCGTTCTATTCCTCCACATAGGATTTCTGATGAAGGTATAGTCCACCTTCTTTTCTCTTCATCACCTCAAGCCCACAAAAACAAACAGCCAATTCCTCTTTCCTCGTTCAGCCATTGAGGTTGACACCCTCCACCTCTTCCAAACGGCTTCAGTGCCTACTTTCACGATCTCCGGGCAAGGATCAGAAAGTCACGCGGGCCGCCAAAATATAGGCCGCATCCTTTTCACCCTCCTCAACAAGTGCCAGCAAATTTGGATCACCCAACGACATGAGTTGAAGAGCCTTCTTCTTGCGCTCAATCTGGATCTTGGGAAGCTCCTGGTCACGACAAAAAGCATGCCGCGCAACCCACAGCAAAGATACTTCGTGGAACCATTGCAAGCAATTCGTTTTGCGACGGTGGCGACAGCAAAAACGCCGCGGCAACATCCCAAGCCGCTCCCGTCCAGTTTCTCATCAATGCAGCGCGGAGCGCTCAACTGGACACTGTCAAGCCCAGAAGCAAACAGATCCTCCCAGGTTCTGTTGTCCATCAGGTTACCGCGTCCAACGCCTCTCACTTTGGGCCGTCCATCAGCGAACTTTCTTCTTCCTCCCCTCCTCAGTCATCCCCTTGATCTTCACGGTCCTGCGGCCTTTATCTCTTTTGCTCACAGCAGCCACAATCTCCTTCTTCAATCCGGCGCCCATGCTGGCCAGGATGCAGAATCTGACCCTCTTGGTCAGAGCAATCGCAAGAGGAATGTCTTTGAAGCCCTTTCCGATCCTGCAAACAAGCACGTCGACTTTCTGCGCAAACCACTAAGGGACCGACTTCATTATCTTTGTGTCAAAATCTGTTGTTGGAGTTGGAGACGGGATCCCAGCAAATGAACCTTAGCTCCTTTCCAGGTCCCACTGCATCGCCGTCCAAATACTCCTCAAACTCTTTGTAGACCACTGAAATCCCAGCTCCGTGCTGAGAAGCATCTTGCGCCACTTCCCCCAACGAAGGTTCCTTGATGACGAAGCATCCTCTAAGCTATCATTCCTGCTCCTGAAGTAGACTCACTTTCGCTTGCAGCTGCTGGTTCAACTGCAGCTCGCTAGATTTCCCCCCATCTGGTCCTCCTCCACTAGGCGTTGGGCGGTCCACCACTGCCACAAGCCCACTCCGTTCTTGCGACAGTGAGAACGCTGAAGACAAAAACGCCATGAGTCTCACTCAAGAAGCTCCAGGCCCCGAGTTGAGGTCCCATCAATCCTTTCGAGAGGCGGCGGCATAGCCCTCTGTTCAAAATCCAGATTGCCCCCGAAGATTCTTTGGGCAAAGTAAATGGCCTTTATGGCCCTCAGCGTCGCCTCGGGCTCACACCTTCTGGATTTGCTGGCGACATCACAAATGGTTCACCTTGTGCATGCTGCTCTTTTATCGGGAGTCTCCATCAGATCTTCTCCATCTTCAGGAAGAGCAACTTCTGATGCGTCCATGGCTTCACTTCGGCCAAGGACACAGGCGTTGGGCTCAAACCCTCTAAACTGCAGCAGCGAATTGGTGGTCCCACACACACAATAGTCTTGATCTTTCAAGGGCTCCGGTGGAGTTTTCATCTCAACATACAGTCAAGCCCCTCTACACCACCTGGTGAAAAGTCATGAAAAGTCATGTAGGCATTCTAGCTACACTTCATGAAAATTTCATGAAAGTGGATGAATCTGTAAGAAATTTTGTTTGTTTAGATTTGGTACTAATTCGACACAATTGAATTCTTTCTAACCGGCGTCCTTTCATTTGCAAGAATATGGTTCTACCGAGCGTCCGCAGAGAAACGCATCGGGAAAGGAGTTGGCAAAGAATCCATTGGAAAGATGGCAAACGCAGTTTGCAAACAGATTTAAAAGGAGCGCATTTCCAATTCAACAAACGAAGTGATCTATTGGGATGCGCTTGGGAGCTCCGGCTACAATTGGCGAGGGCATTCAGAAAAGCAGCAACGCCAACAGTCTGAAAATCGACCTTTCGCAAAAACTTGGCAAGGGGCAGCAAACACATAGCAACAACAAAATGCTTTGAAAGCCCACCTGGACGAATGGCAGTTGAACACATCCAAAAATGAGGGCAACACATAGCAACACTATTCAAAAGTCTTGGCCCCTTGCATAGATGGGCCCAGAACCACTGCCCAGTGGAAGCTGAGTCACCCCAGTCATGGAGCACAAAAGATAGTTTAAAGTTGCATCAGTGTATCTTCTCAGAACTAGCCTTTGACTGCTTTGTTTCGCTTTCCTCTTTCGTCTTATTTCCTTACCTTCAGGAAATGCTTGAAAAGAGTGCTGCGCGGAAATTTGACGCGTATTGCGGAATGAGGAGATTCAATTTAGAGGCTCCGCGAGTAGGAACATGTCTACTGCTATGCCTGTGGTGAAAACAACCTTTCTTTATAACCTTGTATAAGCGTACTCCGCTCCATTCCGAGTGACTGCAAGGTTGAAGACTTCAAAGTGACAAACACCCTGCAAGCACAGGAGTTGCGGAAACATGACGCGATGGTAAAACATGGCACCGGAAAAGTAATGCAGCAAAACAAACCCTCTCCTTGGACTTCTATTGCGCATAATGATGCCACAACAACAGTCCATCTTGATCTTTAGGGCATCTAGCCAGAACAATCACAACTAGTTGTCAAAGGCAGGCAGTACTAGACTTAAGCTCATTCTAGTCACTCAAACACGGCCCAGCACGCAGCCTTTTTTCAACAAAATATGTAGTTTCTCTTCGAATTATCGCGGACCGTTCATACGCAAAGGAGTGACCTTTGTCACCTTGCAGCTGCAGCGCGATGCAGAATGCAATGTGACCTTGTCTGGTACAGTTCTTGCCTTGTTTTTTCAGTGTGCCATGGATTCTTCTGCAAGACTTGCTAAAATATATATAGATCATCCCATCATCATCCTACCAGATCTTCTTCATCGTTTGATCAAATCTTTCGACGTCAAGCTATATTGTTGCGCTGCCCTGTGTTCTCGAGCCTTGTTGGTCGGGGTACAGCGGCCCGCAGCCGATGTAACACTGACCTGAATACATGTGGACACGCCCTGGGGGGAGGTGGAATGACTTTTTTGGCGCCCTAGGCTGCAACAAAGCAATTTTGTAAAGTTTTCCTGTGTTTGTTCGGTTTTTGCCCCAGTTGACCTTGTCCACTTTTTACATAGTTTCGTGGAAACAAGTCTCCTGAAGCAAGGGGACCATGTACAATGTAAAAGTACAGTATGTCATGTGTACTTCTTGATATATATATATATAGATGTGTAGGTACCTTTGCGTATAACATAACGACCTCCTTTCCGCGCCAACTACTCGACGCCAGCTCTACCCTACCTCACTCTTGTGTACGGTATCAAACTTAATGGTGAATAGTATGCAACATGAAGTGCTAAGGTGTCCGTAGTCTGTAGTGGAGGGCGATACATTGGCAGAGGGCAAGAAAACAGAAGGAGAAAACAGGATGTGCTTTTGCTCAACATTGTTTTTCAAGGGAGTGAAAAAAAGATTGAAGAAAGAGTGAACCCACTCCTCTCCATTGAGCTTGTAAGTCGTCGTGGCCCAAGCCAAGTTTGTGAGGCGGTTGCAATGGAAAGACCTCCATGAACCTCACACCCCCGGGAGGCTCAGAAAGTGTGCTCTGTCAAGAGCAGCCGGCCGTTTCTGGCATCCTTCATAAAAAACATCAAAGGCTGAGGCCCCTGAGATTGATAACGCTTGGTATCAAGTCTGTCATTGTGAGTCAAGAGTCAAGCGGTGCAAAGGTTGCTGAAGCAAGTCAGAAAAGTGGAACTACTTCGGAGAACTGCGCGTTGAAGACGGCAGTTTGTAGTGCAGATCTTGTTCATAGCGGACTGCGTAAGACAAGCCATGTTCGGCGCTCATGCGCGTTGAATCAGAAACCGGATGACTCCGACCATGGCGCGAGCGAGCCAAAAATTGGACGCTAGGCTGAGAAACCTGGCGCGTCCACCTGGTCAGTCATCCTCCACTGCTTCCTTGACCAAAGCTTCACACGCAAATAGGGATTCCCCATGCCCAACCCACAGCGGCATCCAAGACTCAAAAGTAGTACCGGCAATAAAAGGGTGAGGCCAGGTTGAACTTGTCCATGTCTTCATCACCAGAGCCATGGTCTCGCAGGCCGGCGCCCGCGTGCAAAGGGCAGAAGCGAGCTGTGGTTGACCCGCGCTTCAAGGGTAGCCAAACAACGTTTTGCTGCAACAAAGGGCATTTGTCGCTCCACAACTGTTGAGGAAGCATCGCGCTCACACGCACCCATCTGAGTGTCTATCTTCCTTCCTGTCCAGCCATTGTCAGATCAAACTGTCCATGCATCCTTCACTCACGCCTGACCTTGCTGAGCGCCCCCATGGTGGGGCCAGCCTTTGTCGCCTGCAGCCGAGTCTCACGAGTGCCGCTGCGTAGTCGAACATCTCCTCGCGGTCTCTGCCTCCTGATTGCCATCCAGACCCGCCTGCTCCTGCACCAGCGCCTGCTGTGCCTCCAGAGCTTGCCTCACCTGCTCTCCCTGCTGACGCACCTTGAGCTTTCCGCCTACTCGGATGGTGCGGTGGACAACTTCCTGCGCTGGGCGTGGCCTATGACATCAACCCAAGCCCCTGTCCACAGCGTGGTAGGGTCGGGGGTCCTTCGCCTGTCTTCTGTCTTTGGGCAGTCCCAGGGCCTTCATCAGGAGATTGCGCAGGACCTCTTGCGTACAACTTGGCTCCCCATCTTCTCGCCTTGGCGTCTCATTCCAATTATTTGGCCAGTCTTCCCTCATGTCTTCTTCTACTTCAATGCCTCGCACGGACCTTCCACGCGCCCCAACTCGCTCAGGCGCATTCGAAGAAAGAGTGGGCGCCCGCTTCAATTGGCGAAGCTGCCGGCATTTGGAGGGGACAATTGCAGAAGGGCTTGGAAGCCACAGTCCAAATAGACTTGGGGCATTGCCACGGATTGCCATTGGCCTTTCGTGACCTTCAGTGCACCCAGGGTCTTTCCATAGGCTGTCGCAACTCACTCTCCACGAAGTGAGTAGCACTACGCGCAGGGACTCAAGGCGCAGCTCCCAGCAACTCAAAACGGGTGCCATCCCAAAGGGCGCTGCCCTTCGTACGAAGCCGCAGCAGAATATGTTTCAGCCTGCAAGTCATCCCAACTCCTGTACGCTACCCTCTTCTAAAAGCCATGCCAAAAATGCAATGGATGAGACTCGGATGATCTACAGCAAGGATGAGCAAGGCAGAATACAAACAGGAGAAGCAGCACAGGGTAGGGTAACGTAGACCAATGCAAATAAAAAGAAGCGCGCGCAACAAATTTTGTGGTCCTGGGCTACGGGGTGCTTCCTGGCTCTACCCCATTGTCCGGCTTGAAAAGAAACAATGAAGTAACTTGAACTGATTGCAACTGACTTAACTGATTCTAATGCCTTTAGAGATTAGAATATGGTAAGATATTCTCAAAATCGCAGTGAGCACCACCAGACCCGAACCGCGAGCTCCAGTGGGCAACATCGGACCGGAACCAGGTGCGCGGATTTCAGAAACAATGCCAGTATATGTGCCAGACAGAGTGTTAGAAAATATGCACGAAATATGGATTGAAATGCAATCAAAACAAAGCCGTGAACTGCCATGGTGGGGATCACTCAAGCTCAAGCTCACTGAAAGCCAACATGTTATTATAGAATGAGGTCCCTGGTACTCTATATATATATATACACATAGTATATGCATATGCGGATACGGGAGTATATTACTATGACCTTTTGTTTTTTTTTTCTCACGTCGTACTTCGGACCGTGTTGTTTGAGTGAAGAAACTCTCGCAGCTAGCGGCTGCTTCGATGCAAGCTTTGTAAGACCCTTGCGCAAGGTGCAGCAAACCAAATGCAAGCAACAAAATTCTGCGCTTTGCTTTTTCACTCTTGAGATTGGCAATCGAGGGGGCTCACCATGTAAGGTGCAGATCGGAATGTAATCCCACCCCACCGACTCTTTTTGCTATCTAGAACGCGACGCATTTCAACTTGGCTAGCAGGCTCCCGATGTGAAATGTGTCATGTGTCCCAAAACAACCTCTTCTGCTACAAAAATTGTAACGGCGCAAGTCAACAACCTTCAATTCACCTTTGTGACCTTTGTAGACTGATCCTTACTTGTAGAATTCGACAGCTGTTACATTGGAGTCAAAGCCGACGCAAAGACTGAAGTCTGTCTCCTTAAAGCACCCTCTTACTCCAACAGTTATATTATATATATACTTTAGCGCGACTTTGTTTATATCTTGCACGAGCACGCGCAAAAAGAGTGCTTGCATCACTTTCTTGGCTCCACACGTTCATGAAAGGCTGTGGTTGAACCTGCAAGGTCATAACGTAGATAAATGTAAATAGTATATCTCACAAGAAACATCAATTCAGAAAGGCCTCCATGGCTGCCATGTTCAAAGGCTCACGTATCCTGATGGCAAGACCCTTGCATGCAAACGGCTGGACGTTCGGTCAATCCTGACAATTTCTAAAGCGCAAAGGTGGGGTAGACTAGACTAAGCCACTCAGTGCTTTGCTTGCTGTCCTTTCGACACTCGCTGGGGCAGTGAAGGCATTTTGCGCCATGCGGGCCTGTGCTCTGTTCACAACACAACCAGGCGATGCTCTCCATGTTTTAGCTTACCACTTCCTGCAAATGCGTGCAATGCATCTCCACTTTTATAGGCCCTCTGCGAAAAGACCTATTATATATATGTATATATATATGATTATTGTATATATGCATGACGGAGCTGAAAACATTGAACTATTGAACATACTGAGTTTTGCATAGCGTTTTAGACGGCTCCGTGAGAAGCAACGATGGACGTTGACAAACAATGTTAGACATGCAGGGTTTGCGACCACGTTGGGAACAAATTCAGTGTTTAGCAACCTCATAGAACAAATCGCTTGCTGAGCAGTCGCGAAGCAAACGGAGAATCAGATTTTGCTTTCACTGCCACGTCATGTGTTTGTTGCTTTCATTCAAATGCCCGAAAGGACTCATGGCATCAAGTCATAGTCACAGGAAGCCCGCAACTGCTTCGAGCTTTGTTTGAACTGAAAGGTGAAAAGGGGCTCTATGAACTGCAAGTCCTCATCGCTACAGGATGGAAGAAGAGCTAACGAACTGGTAAACAAAGATCAAGGCCAGCAGACTTTCGTCATCCAGCAACAGACTCGTGTCAGAACGACAACGGAGACAGCTGGCAGGATAGAAATCATCAGAAAGAGGAGCACATCAATGGATGGCCACCAGCATCAAACAACTGTAGTCTTTTCAGTTCATGGACCGAAAGGAATAAATAGATGAATGAACGAACGAATGAGTGATAACCGATAACCACGAAAAACACTTGAATCGTGGAGGCAAATAAAACAAGGGCATTGAAGGAACTGGCATGTGTTATAATGTGTGTCACCTGTCAACATGACGCAGGAAGGCTTCCCATGCAACTGTCGTAATTACATTCGATACATCAAGAAAGCAGCATACATCAGGAAAAGTATGGAAAAGTAAAGTCAATAACATAATTGTTCAACATTCGTGATGCTTCTTGCATTTCATGTGTCATGCCGTCACGCCAAGACTTATCAGGCTGGCACAATGCTGGGCCCACTTGGTGCGGCCTCAAGCAGACAGCAACACTCTTGATCTTCATGCATTCTCTTCCAGCAAGCAGTCCAACAGTTGAACATCCTCTTGGGGAAGCAGTGTGAAACTGGGCGAAACAACATGTGCATTGGGTCAGCGTGGCGTTCGGAATCTGGGTTTCAGAAACTGGAAAGGTGGGTTTCGGCAACTCGCCAAATATGTTCGGAAACGGTTGGTTTCGGAAACTGGAACGTGGGTTTCGGCAACTGAAAACGTAGCTAAGGGAAACCAAGAGCTATGTTTGCGTAGCGTGCGCAACGGACGTCATTATCCCTGGCCCCACCCTCCCCCCCCCACCCCCAATATTGCAAAACCGACAAGGACAGTTTCTGAAACCGACAAAAACCAGTTGTTCAAACCGACAAAGCAGTTTCTGAAACTGACAAAAGCCAGTTGCTGAAACCGACAAAAGCAGTTGTTGAAACCGACAAAAGCCAGTTGTTGAAACCGACAAAAGCCAGTTGTTGAAACCGACAAAAGCCAGTTGTTGAAACCGACAAAACCAGTTTCTGAAACTGACAAAAGCCAGTTGCTGAAACCGACAAAAGCCAGTTGTTGAAGCCGACAAAAGCCAGTTGTTGAAACCGACAAAAGCCAGTTGTTGAAACCGACAAAAGCTAGTTGTCGAAACCGACAAAACCAGTTTCTGAAACCGACAAAAGCCAGTTGCTGAAGCCGACAAAAGCCAGTTGTTGAAACCGACAAAAGCCAGTTGTTGAAACCGACAAAACCAGTTTCTGAAACCGACAAAAGCCAGTTGCTGAAACCGACAAGAGCCAGTTGTTGAAACCGACAAAAGCCAGTTGCTGAAACCGACAAAACCAGCTGCTGAAACCGACAAAACCCGTTGCAAAAACCGACAAATCCAGTTGCTGAACCGCAGTTGCTGAACCGCAGTTGCTGAAACCAACAAATAGTTCCTGAAACCTAGTTGCTGAACGCAGAGTAGTTGCTGAACATTACTTTATTCATGATGGTCATGATCCTTGTGGATGTGTTGACGTCAGAAGCTCCCAACTTAACATTTTGATACATTTTGGCAATCATGTGAGCCCATGGTGGATGCTACCTGAAAGCAAAGAACACCGAGCAAGCAGGCTAGATCAGGCTAGCCGCCGCCAGCCACCAATCCACGAATCAAGCCATCTCAGCTTTTGATAAACACGTCACTTTGTTGGCCTGACAATCTACAGCAAAAAGAACAAATAGCTAGTCAAAAAAATTGGACCGGTTTCTTCGATCTACCTGGGCAGCAACAGAACGACTGCCGTGACACGATCTCATTGAGCAGTTTTGGCAAACTTGATGTTCTCGGTGTGCACTTGATGCAGCTTGATTGGTGCTGCATGCCTACATTGTGTATCGTTTCGCTCCATCCTCATTCCGGATTTCTACAGCATCGCTGCCAGAGCCCTCTCTCCCTCTCTCTCCATAGACTCCAGCTATGCAATCTCGGGGTGAAACTGCTGACATTTGCAGTCGCGGAGGCAGCCTGCAGTAAATGCTGCTTGACGCATTGAACGCTTCACAGATCGTGTGGTATGGTAATGCGCATGGCTTTGGGCTTGTGGCCTACATATGAAAAAAAAAAAAAATATACATATACAGGGGCATATGTTTGGCTGCCAACACGACTCGTTCTCAACATGCTCTACATGCGAAAGAATCCATCCAAATTTGAACTAATCGCGGTGGCTAACCATGATTCATCATGATTCCTGAGACGTGTTGCCAAATTGCGCGACACCCTCTCTTGACCACATCTTTAGGCCTTTTGAGACCTTTAAGCTAAGAACCATGTCGAACAGTTTGAATCGTTAAACTATTAAGAAACGATATAGCTCCTTGAGGGAGCGAGGTCCCGATCCCCCGCTTCGTCCCATTTCGCCAAGTGTCTGCCGGAGCTGTGGCACGCGAGGAGTCACAGGATTACTTCCTGCACAATGAACACGATGCAAGGCAAAGTGAACAAAATACAGATTCAATATGATTCAATACTCATTCCATATCTTATGTAAGTGACCCTTCGGGTAGCTTTTCTAGCTTGCATATCCTTTCAATGATAGCATGCAGCATCCTGGCTGTGGGCCGTGGAGGCATGCAGCTGGTATTTGCACAGCAGGTGCCTTTGCCCAGAATCCCAAAAGACATCTGGGCTTTTAAAGTACCTTTTGTCTCAACGCCAGGGCTCTTGCAGTACTCATGGGGCATGGCATCGAGACTGGAGATATGCTCGACCCAACCTTGTGACAAGAGTTGTCAATCAATTCATCAAGTGCTTTTCACGTTGTTATAACACATTACCATGGAATGTCGGTTTACTGTTTCACTGGCGTGTGATAGAGTACATATAGGGCTCCTTTGTTATCAGTCTGCCGCCTGCCCAAGCTGGCTATTAAAAAACGGTTGGGTAATCCAAGTTGCATGTCCATCCCAGCCAGATAGTGATGCAGGTCCCATTGGCACCTCCAGAGCTGCAAGTTACGCCAAATCGGCGTGCTGAGTGTCCTCCTTCCATAGACATGTATTCTGCTTCCACATGGGTCTCCGAATTTGTTGTATTTTCAAAGCACATGCACAGCTTTGGGCCGGCCTGTCGCACAGGATGTCTGGGTGTCACCTCAGGCTCCGAATGTCTGTGGACGTCTCCGCAAAAAGCATGGTTTAAGTGGAGTGTTCTGGTAAACTTGTTCATTTTTTGGTACATGAGTCAGTCAACCATCCTCCATCTAGTTGGACCTATGCCCCAACTTAATCTTGAATCTTTCTTACGAGTAGTGCGTGTGGATTTATTGCAGGGATGGGACATCTGAAAAAGGAAAACAGCCTAGAACATTTGGTATTTATCGAAGCGTCAATGCGGGTGAAACCAAATTAGGCTTTGTCAGTTCACAGAACGCCTTTGTGAGTACTCCGGAGAAATAAGTGCGAAAATGAATGCAATGAGATCAAGTGGGAACAAGGTTATTATAGGTAAATCAAAGGATATCAAAGGCAACAAAAAGTCGCTCGTGACCAAAACGAGAGGTCCCAACAGAATCAATGGGCCAATGGGTGCCAAAACGAACAAGTAACGCGGCGAAAATCTTAAGAGAGAGCCGACGTCGGGTCGGGCGTTGCCTGTTGCGGTTTTTGGAGAAGAATCCAAACAGTCAACTCTCCGATTTGCCATGCTGGTGACTCAATCTCCCCTTTTGGTGTGGACTTGATGAATGCCCTGTGGAGGCTGCAATACTCAATATCGAAATTCCTTTGGCACCGGCTCTTACCCGTCTTGCCCCTCGCTCTCTTGCCAGGCCAAACAAACCACACTTCTGAAGGCTCCCACTTCACGAAGAAAGTTGAGTTCCCGGTAGCTGTCTCGGTTGGCCACATAGGCTTGCTCAAGCTTCAGCCTGTCATCAATGCTTTCACCATTCGACAAATGTGCCCTCCAAGCATTGACACCACTGACACAAATTGACATGATGCACTTCTGAACATAGAAACGTACCAGACCAGCGACTTTGCAGCGAATGTCGGCCGACCCCGGGGGCACGGTGGAGTGGGCCCGAACGGTCGAGTTTCTATTTTAGTACCAAAGTTTTAGTTTTTGGAAGCAACTCTAGACACTGACGAATGAGTGGCTGAAGACTCGTTTGAGCATGTTAGCATAGGCATTGAAAATCATTAGACATGATATTCCTATACTTTCCTATCTAATGCGATTCTACTATATATATATATATATGGATTTCCCCACATCCCTATGTGGGGTTCTAGTTTTTCGCTCTGCAACCGCCGCTCCGCCTCCCGCCGCCTCCGCCTCCGCCTCCTCCCGCCGCCGCCACTCAACTTAGACCACTCAACTCACACCACTCATCTACACCACTCAACTTGAACCTCTCAACTCACAGCACTCCACTCACACCACCTGTCTTACACCGCCTATCTCACCACCCATCTTACACCACTCATCTCACACCACTCAACTAACACCACCTATCTTACACCACCTATCTTACGCCACCTATCTCACACCACTCATCTTACACCACTCAACTCACACCACTCATCTACACCACTCAACTTACACCACAGACTCAACTCACACCACCTGTCTTACACCACCCATCTTACACCACCTATCTCACATCACTCATCTTACACCACTCATCCACCTATCTCACACCACATCGACTGTGACAGCTTGCGTTGCGACCTCCGGTGTCGAAGGTGCTGCAGCTGCCGGTGTTTGTGGGAGTGCAGTCATGACCGGTGTCTGTAGTCCTGTGTCTGGGGCCTGAGCAACTTCATCTACAGCAGGGAGCTCATCAGTCTCCGGTGGACCACGTTGGTCATCAAGTAGGTTCTCCTGGAACTGGGCCGTGGCATCTTTGAGGGCTGCAATGTCCTCTTCATCTGGTGTGCGCTGCTCGAAGCCAAAGGAGGTTCTCATCAAGGAATCGGCACATGGTCCATGCGCCTCTCTTCTTTGCTCCGCGCTTCTGCCACCTCCAGATTGCCACACGCTGTCCAGGCATCACATCTGGAGCCTTTGTAACGCGGGTCTTTCTCAACAAGGCCCTCCGCAAAGCTTGACTGGCGTTCATGTCTGCCAGACACTTGATGGCTTCACAACGAGCCATCTCGGCACGCAAGGCCGGGTTGTCTGTCTCCTCATCCTGCGAGGAGAAGCGAGCACTGTTTCATCTTCCAAAACATTGTCTGGTAGTCGAGGTTGGCGACCAAACACTGCTTGGTAGGCCGTCCGGCTTCGTGAAAAACACATGTTGTTCATGGCATGGACTGTCGCAGTGAGGGCTGTCTTGACATCACGTTTGTCCACGACGCTCATGTGGTCAATGACCTGGTTGAAAGGTATGCAGCTCGGGTCGACCACACGGTGGTGTTCACAGGTGTTCTTCTTGTGGTTGGGGCATAGACAATGTAACATGTATCTTGCCCAGGTCCATCCTGAGGAGGTTGGAGATCTCTTTGTCGGACTTGACGTCCACATAGTATGGTCGCTTTGCCGACCGTTCAAAGGAGTTGGTGATGTACTCGGTGAGCTGGTTCCATTGTGACAGATCGGTCGTTGGCTGTGACACTGCCATGACCTGGTGAAGTGGGGGCCCAAAACGATGTGGCTCATGTTGTGCAACCACTCCACGAAGCTCTTGCAAGATTGTGCGATATAGAAGGTCTGGGTAGGCCTGTGAAGGCTTCGTCAGTGAGCCCTCAATGGGCTTGCAGTACTGGCGCTCCAGAGGTGAAAGGCGCCGATGCAAGGCTTAATGCAGGCCAGGTTGATTGCCAACCCATCGCATGGTCTTGATGATGGGGTCGCCGTCGATCTCAGCACCAAAGGCCCCAGCATCCAAGGTCGTAGACCACACGCCAGGCTCTTGCGTCAGAGCTTGAATCTAATAGCGATGGCCTCCAACTCAACAGCAATGGCCTCCATAGCGATGGCCTCCAACCTAATAGCGATGGCCTCCAAATCGAGGGTCCAAAGATCAGACCTGAAAGGGTTCTCGATGGCCGTTGGCCATTTGCTCTCTTGCCACCTTTCTCGCAAAGCGGGGAAGTTCCCGCTCCTCTTCGCGAAGTTCTTCAAGCAGCGCCTGTCGATCCATTGAGCTCCAATTTATATTCTTGGAGAAGTGATTCCAAAGCCGGCAGTCAACGCCCATGGGCACCAGCCAGGGCTTATAGGTCTTGATCGTCTTGAAGATCCGGTCTCTGGTCGCACAGTCCTTGAAGTTCTGGCCATAGAGCAAGTCCGGGGGCTCCATGGCGACGAGGTTGTAGTGATGAGCCAATGAAGACGTCGTGGCACTTCCTGCAAACAACTCAAACAAATCCACCTGTGGAGGTCGGTCTGCCACGGTCTTCCCAACCATGTAGATCTTGTACTCCATCTCAAGGACCTCATAGCTCTTTTTCCACATGCCTCGCAGGCGCTTAGCTAGTCCTGGAGGGATTAGTCGCAGGCCTCGTCGTCGTCCACGTGGATCTGCTGGTGTGGGATCACTCCAAGCTCCATGAGGCGATGGTGTCGGCGTTGATCTGCCGTCTTTTCCATGGAGTTTCTCTGAGCCTCGAAGCTGAGCTCGTTCAAGAACATGTACTCCGTCATGTTGGCCGGCTCGGCGTCCAGAGCAGACTCCTGTTTGCAGATCTGCCATACCTCGTGTTGGAGGTCCGCCGGCAAGTGTTCCGTCTTCAGATCCCACGTGTTGAAATTCGCTCAGAACCTCTGGGAAGTGCTTGCCGTAGAGCTCGCCGATGGAGTAGTCTTGGCATAGCCCGGCCGCTTCGTCGGCTTTGGCTTTGCTTTGGCTCCCTTGTCCAACACTGCTGCTTCCGATTCCTTGAGGATCGTCGCTGAGGATGGTGCCGGCAATGGCTGCAATGGCGTAGAGGAGCTTGGCGATGAAACCTTTGTTTCCCACTTCTCGACGGTTGCGTTCCAACGCCACTTCATGTGGCAAATGAGGCACGTCGCAAACCGTCCGTGAGCGTTGCCATGACGCCTCACATGGTCGCAGTGCTTCGGCAAGGGGAAGGGAGCTGGACTGCCCTCCAAAGGAAATCCCGTGGGACAAGGTGGAGTCTTGGAGCCGTACATCGCTAGCACCAGCCGCTTCCATGCCACCGCCATGGGGGAGGTGCTTGTCTCATCGTCCAAGGGCTTACGCAGCGAATTGCGAGATGCTTGGGCGCTCATCTGAGGCGGTGGAATGAGAAGCTCAGGACGTGGTGACTTCCAAACATGTGGCTGAGAAAACAACTTCCAAACAGCCATCGGTGAGGTGCTTGTGAACGATCACAATCAAACAACTTGATGGCAAAATGACCTCCAACTTGAAAAAGATCAACTGCAATGTTCAAAAGCTCGAACTCGACACGTCGAACCGGCAGGCGGAGGTTGGTTTGCAAAATGTCCAACAAGCTGTTGCTGCAGGGGATCTTCTCTGGGAGGATTGTCGCGCCAAGTAAAAGGGGTTGTCCACCAATAACGCAAGGGATGTAGGCCTTCTTTGTTGCTATAGTTGGGGATCCCTTGCCGAACTGGTAGATCTCGTGGCAATCAACGATCTTGGGGACCATGTCATAGCTCTTGAGGTATTCGATGTGGTGGTCAAACCATTCTTGGCCGCAGCAGTTTCGTTGACATGCCGAATCTATGATCATCATGCCCTCAAAAACCTTGGGGGTGCACTGCACTTCATGGACGGTGAAGGTGGACTCGAAACAGTTCATGTTGATGGTGAACATCGTGCCATAATCATGTGAAACCTCAGGGGTGCCTTCAACAATGTCGAGGCCTCCGTCATGGTGAGCCATGCTCACACGATACGAAGAGGAGGAACCCTTTTGGCTCATGCTCTTGTCATGAACGTGTGGGGTCTTCCCCTTGGGTCCACCCTTGGGGCCTTTTGCACCATGTGGGCACTGTGCATCTCCGGCCCAATGGCCGAGTCCGCCGCAAGCGGAACAGTGAGTAACCTTCTTGAGCTCTGGAGGGAGCCTTGTCTTCTTCGCAGGGTTGGAGGTCGTGAACTTCCTCCCAAGCGTCACTCCAGAGAGCCTGCGAGCCGTCACGGTGAGGATCTCAGCGATCATCTCTGAAAGGTCGGCCTCTTGGCCATCTTCATCGGGTTCACCGGCGTTAGCCGGGTCGTCTTGGCCGTCATGGCCATCATCGTCCTGCTCGGGCTCCTCATCGATCACCTCGAGGAACTCGTCATCATCCTCAGGCCGTGCGTCCGTCGCGTTTGCGACGAAGGCTTGTCGCCGAGGAAGTCCCTTCCCGCTTCCTTTGGAAGTCTGTGAAGAGGATGCGAACGAAGTAGAGCTCGAGGAGGATGAAGAGCTTGTGCTGTTCTTTCCAGCTTTGCCCATGCCTTTTGCCATCTTTGTTAACCACTGGTGGAGGCGCTCTGAATTCCGGCCATTGGAGTGTCAAACATTCGGCAATCGCCTCAAAAGTCCAAGCTCTGCTGTGTGCCAACCAGTATGAGGCGTTGGTCGGCATGAGAAAGGCCGGATCGATCAAGAAGCCTCGATCCCAAGGCCTCACCGTCGAAGGTGGCATCCAAGTTCACTCCAACTGGCATCAACAAGCGTTGTACTCGTCGGAATCGAAGCACATAGGTCCTCATCGTCTCGCCGTGGTATCGGCGCACCTGTTCAAAGCCCTGCAAGAATCTCCTTTTCTGGTAAATGACCCGTTGCTCAAATGGTCGTTGCAGGTTTTGGAGGATTGGCTGAACTCCATCGTCCACATAGAACTCCTCGATGGCCATGTGCTCGAGTTCCTGCTCAGGTTCTCCCGTGAGGGAGTTGTAGACCAACAAGCAAGGCCTGCTCTTTGGGAGTGGCATAGGCTTTCATTTGAAGTTGCCATATTGCTATCTTCTTCTTGTACTTTGCGAAGGCGCGCATGTCTTGACTATCATAGCGCCATGTCGAGACAGCAGGGTATTGACCCGACTTCCATTTGATCCCGGGCTCTGGCCCATTCCGGGAATTCCATGTCGTGGAACTGTCAGAGGTCTGTCTCCTCGCCGTCTGAGGGCTGGTGCCTGCAAAGGCGTCAACAGTCCACATCGTTCCGGTATGTTGTCGCGCGGCGTAGGAGCAGCTGGTCCATGGTCACGCGGAGGACGTGCTCTAGGTAGTCGAGGACCTGGTTGAGCTTTGGGGCCAGGACGTAACAGGGTCTCGGTCCGGGTCCACCACCGGGTCAGCTGTGGGAACTTCTGACTCAGCTCTTTCCTCTTCATCTGCCGTGCTCGGAGGGCCGATGGGAGGTCCAGTCGTGGTCCTTCGTCTCCTCCTGCGGCGGGTCGACTTGGGGCCTCTGAACCATCAGCTCGATGAGGAAGGGACATCCAGGTTCCTGCACTGGTGACTCTCTTCATGGGCTCAGTGGGCTGATAGAAGTCCTTCGACGAGCATCTCACACATGTCCACACGGACCCAACTAGATGATAGCGGCCGAATCGCACAGGGCACAAAGCCAAGGAGCAGCAGCCGTCGGCGAAGAAGGCGACGTAGTCAGTGGATTGGGCTCATGCTCTACCTGGGTCGTAGCTCTGGGCGCCGATCAATCCGACTCCAATGGTCCATCAGCAGGATCAAGGTCTGGGTCAAAGTCAAAGGCCATCCAATCGTCCTGCGGGTCATCATCAGTGTCGGCCACGGTCATATCAAAGACCTGTCTAGCCTGGGCATAGCGGTTGAAGTCGAAGGAAGGCGCTCAGAGTCCAAAGCTCCGGTGCCAACTGAACAAAACCATGCGCAACGCACGGAGGACGAAAGCTTTTCCGCACAAGGTCAGGTGCGAAGTGCAAACACACATGGCTCGCGGATCCTTGAACAGCGGAAGCATGAACAGTCAATCTGCTTGCTCAGAATTGTCAATATATATATATATAGATAAATAATTGGGTGCACTACTCTTTCAAGTTGGCACATTACTTTGTGTATTGCACGTTTCAAAGGACTTCACATGCAGCACCTTAAAGTAGAATTCTCCTGTCGCAAATGCTGCATCTCCTCCTGAGGTGTGGCGCTAGAAGTGGCGAGGCTTCAATGTATATAGAAGAAAAGCGCGTCTGGAATACACAGCAAGCTAAAAGCAATGACATGCATGAATCATGCAGCAGCAAGTCATCATTGAGGGGGCAAATACGTGCAAATACCAACTTCGTTCAACAAAGACGTGCATTTCGCCTAGGCAAACATCAGAGTCCAGCTTCTGATGCACTGTTAGCTTGATTTTTTCCAGTCACACAAGGACCCATGTTCTCTGGTGGAGCATGGGAGATTGGCCTCCGAAGGAGCAGCATGCAGATCAGTTGGCGCCTCCGTTGCTGTGTGTTCTTCTGTTGTTTGTTCTCATGTTGAGCTACTGCAATCGCATTTCATGAAACATATGATAGGCTTTGAAGGCCACAGTTGCATGGATGCTGTGTGCATAATTCTGCAAGCGTACCTCGTGGCGCAATGCTTCGACCAATGCAGAAATGGACCTGGAGAGAAACATTTTGTCGGCATTGCACGAACGGAAAAAACACCGTGAACCCAAAAAATCAAAATCAAACAATCGCAGGACCTCTCCAAGATTTGTTTGCTAAATGTTCTTGGCGGGGAAACTACAGCAGGACCAAGGATCCAAGCGGGGGGCTGAAATGATCATTGCGAGACAAAGCCAGAACCCTCCAGAAAGTTTGGAAGAGAGGGCACTAAAAGCTTTGAACACTTTGACCAACTTTAGACTTGAAAGGAAGACTTTCCGGTTGGTTAGCTAGCTCTCTTGAGGATGCAGCTCTCGACATCGCTCATTCCTGATCTCCATTTCTTCCAAATGTTGGTGAAGCTCCTGAGCTGTTCAAATAGAAAAGGCAAACAGTGGACACTTTCACAACAAGTTCAACACCGTGACATTGATTTTGATTTGAAACTGAACCGGTTGAAACAATATGGTTGTTGTGTCCTCTATGGCCGCGCAGTCAAAGGGCGAGGCGGGCAAATGCACAAGAAGCTTCTCCTGCAAGCAGCAAACAACAATGCAAACTCGATGAAACTCCTAGTGACAAGTACACAGCTGTAGAGCTCAGATAGCGCAGTACATCTCCAGCATATTCTATAAAAATCTTGCCCCAAGTCATTCCGCAGAACCGACAAACATTAGCTGACACTTTGACAATTCATTCTTGCAACTGCCGACTGAACACATTTGACAGCATTGCCAATGTCGTATCATGCGCACACTCAATCTGTATGCCTTCTCTGCAAACTCGCTCAGTTGATCGTTGACAGGTACCTTTACAATTCCATGGTCAGCAGGACTCATGCATATTCTATGAAAGCATAGCAATGTACACAAATGGCTGCATGGCAGCACAACTTAGTTTCATTGTTGTCAAACGTGATATCATGCAACCTCTGCTCATGCAGTGCTCTTACATCATCAGTCATGGCTTCAACCCTCTGCAACATGTGGCGCTATACCAAAGACATCCAAGGAGTACCAAGCGCCAAGCGCTCATTGCCACCACTCCCTTGCCATTCTACCATTCCCAATTCTAATTTGGTGGCACCACACGATAGACATCGATGTGCTGGCTGGCCTGTGAGACACATGCAACCGCTGACACAATCAACCGCCGCTTGTAATACTGCGTTCAGCACTAGTCCACTTTGAATGGGGGGCGTCAATTTTAAAATTCCTTTATGTTTCACAGACATTTACAGCCACACCTTTGTGCAATGAAGCATCTTGAGCAAACCATAGCCGCACAAATGGACATATGCAAAGCATTGTCTTACAAAGCAAACACCTAGCTTGCAATACTGTTGGCCTTTCACCAGATATGACCAATGAACTTTAGAATTGAGTGTGCTCCGATGAAGGGTTTTCAGCCCTCTTAAGATTGCAATCAGCTACGTACTGTTCTTTTGCAGGTTTCTGAGGTCGTCAACAAAGTGTCAAATGAGTGGAGGTGACTCCATTGACCGAGCGACTGAGATGAGGCAAAGACGACTTTGAGAGCAGGTTCTAGATGGTTCTGTTTGTGCCTTTAGAAGGCCGATGATTACCTGCTTCATTTGTAAAGCTTTATTCAGCTGTATGCACTTGCTTGTAAAAGCGCACCTGTGCTGGTTTAGCGCTGCTGTTCTGGTTAGGGGGTTGGCAAAAGCATATTTTTTTGTTTTTGCTCGACAAGGTTTGGCCAGAGGCGTAAAGCCGTAAACATCGAACAATCTATGTTTCAAAAGTTAACTAGTTTAAAAAAACGCATACAGTAAACTCAGTAAACATGTGTTTTACAGAATCCGCAGGAAAAACGAAAAACATCGCTTCTTTATCTTCTTTTTTAAAACCAAAGTTTGCCCGCGCATCGCAGCTCGATTTTTGCCAAAGGCACGGCAAAAACGGAAACACTTTAAAACATAAACCACAATTTTGGTCACTGTAGGTCACTGTAAAAGCAATGCAAAGCTGCTGTTTTTGCAGACATCGGGAGTACAAGTTGTAAACACAGCAAGTTGTCCTGTGTTTTGTTTTGGCCGGGTTTCACCGCTTTCGGAAGGCAAAACTCACCGGAATCAAATCAATCTGACCTTTCCGGTGAATTTGTTAAAGTCTGTCTTTTGCTTTTTGAACTTCAATTGTTGTAGAATTAAGTTCGTTCTTCCGTTGTATGTGTTATGTTATTGTTCTTCTTTGGTGTTTCAATTCTATTCCATTGTGAGATAATCCCTTTCCGGGTCTATACAGTCCAAAATTTGTCCAACTACCGGTGTAAAAACCCACAGTTTTACAAAATCATGGCCCAAAAAACTGCGCAAATAGCTCAGGTACCTCAGCTAGGATTTTTGTTACTCAAGGCGTGGTAAAAACGATATTGTTTCAAGAATTTGCGGTAACCCGGTAAAACTGCGCAAATGATTATGTTTTTACCACAATGCCCGAGTCTTTCAGCTGTGGATTCTACCAAAAGGCGCGGTAAAAAAAAGACACACAGTACTAACAATATGACAATATGTAATGGTCGTTTTTCTTGTTTTATCGCTTGTCTGCAGTCCCTCCTACCGAAAGGCCCGGTAAAATTGTTAAAACATGAATTCAAAAAAAAAACATCCGGCGTCATGACGGTAAAAGTCGAACATTTTATCTTTTATCCGCATTGTCCCAGTCTCTCAGCTATTGCTAATTCAATCAAAAGGCATGGCAAAGATTGTAACCATCACAATGTTTTTCTTTTATTTGCTGGTTTCTCAACCAAACAAATTGACCAATCTCCATGGTAAAAAGCACAGCAAAACAATTCTTTTTCTGCATTGCCCGAGTCCCTCAACTATGAATGTTACCGAAAGGCGCAGCAAAACTTGTAAAATTAGTAGTTTTTTTATGTTTTCTTTGCGGCGGGTGCTAAACAATGGTCAGAATGGGAAGGTTTATAATGTAGAAACACAAGCACTCAGTGTGCATGCGGTTTCGTAAGGCATGCTGCATTCTTGTGAGCCGCCTGCCTCAGGTGAATCTTCTAGACCCATGGCATGGCAGAATCGTGCAACCACCTGGAAAATCAGGAGGTGCACCGTCTGAAGATAGCTGATATAGTACAAGTACATTTCATGCGTGTGTAAGCGTGTAACCCACCTTTCAACACAAACAGTTGCGCAATACTGGAAAGGCCCCAAAGGCCTCTGCAGCAGTGCGGGGCCCATCCATTGTCATAGCAGGGACACCTTAAACGCAACATCAAATAACCGCACCCAAAGGATCAGCAAAAGCATAAACTCCAGCCAATCACGACCGGCACTGCTCTGGTTGTGCAGAGTTGATTTGCGTACAAACACAAAATGACGCCATGGAAACCGGCAATGTGGAAGAAAGAATCGGTTGACACCACCACCAAAGAAACACCAAGACATGACAAACAAAATTACCGGCAAGATATCATCAAACGAAACACCACCAGCGAAACAAAACCAAACCACCGAAACAATCCAAACCATGACTGAGGCACCGCAACGGAAGACCGATGCACCACAAACAGCACCAATACCGAACGAAACGAACAAAAAAAGGACAAGACATCACCAAGCAAGATTGGGAGCAACAAACACACCAAACAAGATATGATCGAAGCGTTTCTTCAACAGTTTTCCTTTCCCGAAAACTGCTCTTTCGTTTGCCTTTTGTGAGGCCCGAATGCAAATTCTTTACTCGGTTGTTTGTTTGAACTTTCGTCGCTTGTTACATAGACAAAGAACACACTTGATGGCATTGAGTGGGTAATAAATCATTACACACTTTTGTGTGGGGCCTCCTTTCCGATCCATATTCGCCTTTGCAAATCTTGCGGCGCAAGATTTTGCTCAAGCATTCTATTGAAACATAGCAGGACAGTGCCTTTGGCTTCTTGACTGCTATTCTCCAAGGTTTCACATGCGTGGATCTCACCTTGGAGACTTGCGTAGTTTGTTTCCAAATTTTCCGTTTGGTTTCTTTCCCCGTGCGGACGCTGTAGAATTGTATATCTCAGCGTGTGCAATGTGCAACCTTAGTTTTGCCCAACCACAAACAAACTCAACCTCTAGGGCCGTGCGTGTGATTTATGTCATTGTCATGGTACCGTCTTTCGCAAACCTGTCGCTTCCCTTACGCCTCGAAGCGTGCACAAATTGAATATGCCATGGAAACTCGATCTATATACTGAATCCTAGATCTATTTCATAAGCCGCATGCATGTAGGTAGAAAATGATAAAAAAGACACATTATGACATTACACCACTGTAGATCCCAAACAGTTTGTGTTTGTTAGCATCTGATTACTCTGCAACTAGAGTTTGCGACGGAGGCGCTTCTTGTAAATCCAGAGCTGGGAGACAAATGTAAAGGATTCCAATGCAGAGGCGGACACAGCAGTCCAGAGCTGGCAAGGAAATGTAGAGGATTGCAAGCGAGAGGCGGACACCGCAGAGCTGGGAAACAAATGTAAAGGATTGCAAGCCAGAGGTCGGCACCGCGGGGCGGACACAGCAGTCCACACCAGGCGGACACACTTAAAAGATCTTAAAAGCATTGAGAACCCATCAGAATCCCAACAGTAAACTGCTTGGGGAAAAATGAAACTTGTGTCGGCAAAAATCTATGGATGCCTCGAATGGCCGGCAGCATTGGCATTAATTGAAAATTCAAGAGTTCAGCTGTCAAAGTGATATTAAACGGTGGGAGCACGGCCCCATAGCACATTGACCATCACTCCTTGGATTCAAAAATCAATCTAGTCAATACTTTCAAACATATTGCTTCCACTTGAGGCAACAGAACTTGGGATCTAACTGTCAGGACAAGCGAGACGTTCTTTGCGTCATGAAGGCACGTGTAATTGTCGGACTCTGCTGCAACCCTCAGAAACACACTAAAAAAAACAACTTGCTCTTTTCTTCCTGCATCATCTTGCATCAGTAGTTTTCCTGCCAATCGTGAGCCAAACACATGACAGGTCACAATACCTCTGTCCGGCTTGTGGGAAAACGAGTGCTTCGTATTTCTTCAGTTCTTCAAGAAATGTATCGTCCTTCCCTTCCGCCACATCTGCTCAGGATGTGCTTGCTGCGTTCTGATGTATATCTGCGAGAGCAATCAATGGGACTGACAGGTTTCCCCTAAGACTTGAGACACAATAAGGATGATTCACAGAAGATACGAAAGTCGCACACACACACATTTCCAATATTCACATTCGAATGAGTAACCCGAGTAACACCATGATACTCAATTCGTTTGTTTCGTGTCTAGTGATAACCTTTTTGCTTCCAGGAAAGCCGAATGCTGCACATGGCGCTTTGGATCAAACATGAGGTATCGGTATGTGCTGAATAGTTTTATATGCCATACTTTTGACTTGCACTTCTTGCATCATTCTACAAGACTATATATCCAAAGCAACATGCAAACAGCGCAAACTCAACGCATGAGTTGCTGGGCTGGCGTCTCATCACTGAACCTTAGTGGGATATTCTGAAGCACGCATGCGTCAATACCCATGTGGGCCAATTACAGCACACAAAAAGCGGAAACATGACTCTTTGAAGAGATTTCATAATCAAAGCCAGCTGGGTGGCGTGAAGAACTAGGCGGGGCAGTATATTCATTGTCATCAACTCTTGGATCATCAGCTTGCAGGCATACCTCACGTGCTCTTTACTCATCTGTGCCCTGGACCCCTTGGTACGGTTTCAAGCAAATCTACTGCTTTCATTCTGCTTTCTGCTCTTTCTAGTGGTCACGGCAAGCAAATCTGGGAGACTTTGGCCTTGTCCTGGATGGCTGCAAAGTGCAACATAGCTGACAAATGGGTCCCGATCCTTGCAAAGCTTGCACTCGTAAGTGTCGTTCTTGAGCTTTGCGATGGCGAACAAACCGCACCTCAAGCCGTGTCAACAATAGGTCATACTCGTCAACTTTGTGGCCAGCTCGCACCGAATCGAGCAGGCCAAAGCCAAAACAAGCATCGTCATGTCGAAACTGCTGAAATCCAGAATTGTCAACATTGAACACCAAGTTGGAATCAAGAGCTTGCATATTCCTCTTACTTCTGAAATGCAGTGCTAGGGGCGTATCGCACACATGAACGCGATGGGCGTCAGATACATCAAAGAGACGCTCCTGGCAAAGGAGTTTTCAAGATGTTTCAATATGTCTCAGTGCAACTGGCCGTAGTGACAAACCATAATGGTCTTGCTACCCAACTGCTTCTTCCTTGCCAACCACATGGCAGCCAAGGTTTTGCCAATATTGGTGGGTTGGGAGCAGCCCAGCACATGAGAAGAATTGCACCAACAACTTCATTTAAAATGTCGTCACGTGCATTTTTCTTGATTAACTGACCAAAGAGTTCAGCAAACCGAGTAGAATGTGCGGCTTGAACCACAATATTCTATTGTGATCTGGTCTGCAAAAACGACACAAATGCAACCCGAAACGCCTTAGTGAGACTCTGTTCCCTTGTGCCCATGCTGTCCTTCAAGAACTTCGCTGCCCCATGGGAGATGATGCAATCTCTTTCCTGGTTCCAAAGGGCATTCCAACTAATTCCGACATTTGTGTTCAAACGACGAAGTAGCAACGGTGCAGCTGAAGGTCCATTTCTCCAAATCTCAGGCCGCCCTCTTTTGCGCGACCTACCAAACTGTGAGGCTGGGTTTGGGGGTTACTGCAAACTCTGGTCTAATAGGACACGGCGCCCGAACCTACCAAAGGCACTGTGATAAGCACAGGTTTGAAACAAACATTGAAGGCTTCTCTTTGCAACTCCATCCTCCCTTCCTGCTCTTACAACTGCGCCGTGTAAACTGTTCTGACTGGCCGAACGTGAAGCGACAAACACACACTTAGGATAGGGTGTACTGAACTGAAAGCGGTGCCACACGCCAGCCCAAGTTTTTAAAAGGAGGTGTCAGGAAAATAATAGGTTAAAGGCCATCGGCTTTGGGTTGGAGGCCAACGCAAGGCTGTTGGGGGCCAAGACCTAAGGTTGGAGGCCATCGCTAGTAGGCCGTAGACCATAGGCACAAAGTGACAGCAAGAAGCAAAGTTGGAGATCATCGCTAGTAGGTTGGAGGCCAGGGTACCAAGTTGGAGGCCAGTCAGTGCTACCAGGTTACAAAAAGCACAAGAAGCACAAAAACACAAGGCAGCCAAGGTTGGAGGTCCTCGCTAGTGGGTGGAGGCCAGGGTACCAAGTTAGAGTTACCAGGTTACAAGAAACAGAAAACACACAAGACAGCCAAGGTTGGGGGCCAATCTAGTGGGTGGAGGCCAAAGTTCAGGTTAAAGATCCCCTTACAAAGTTAGGAGGGCTACCTGCAAACCTATAGAGTAGTCTAGAGGAAAACAGGAAAGGCACCGACACACAAGTGTGTCGAGTACCATTTCCTCCTGTTTTCCTAAATAGTGGAGCAGGTACAGAAGTTTGCGTCCAAACTTCCATCCAGTCGATTTCCATAGCTTCATTGGCGTGACTAGGAAATCGACCGTCACGCCCCCTGCTCTAAACCCAAAGGTTCCCTGTGATTCCAAGGGTTACACGCACACACACTCACCCAAACTCAAATGAACTTGCAGCCAGGGGAAGGTCGTGTTTTCGAGTGTGACCAGGTTCTGTGCCCGCCTAATTTCATTGCCTCGTGTTGCCAAGCGGGCCAAGCACATGGATCGGTCACTTTTCTTTTGCCGAACAGAGCATTTCCCACGACATCACCTCCAAAACGTTGCCTCCAAAATAGGAACATGTAGGGAACGGAATCCAACTAGCACCGAGATAATCTATCTATGAGAGACCCACTAAAAAACAACATCAACATGAATAAACTTGAAATTAACAAGAACCTCTGGGAAGTAGCTCTGACTCAACACCTTGCCTTCAGTTGGCTGTCTTGTAAGGGTCTGGACCTGCCACACATGCCGCGTGTGATTCACGAGGCAAACCGCAAATCACAACGACTTTGTCGAGTGCATTTCAAAAGCAAATTCATGAAGTATTATTGGCAACTTGCAAAATCACAACATGTCACGACTCTCTACCATAATATTAATGGCCATAAATGGTTCGTTGCTAGACTCACTAGACTCTTCTCTAACCTTCTTGCTTCCAATCTCATTGCAACGTTGAGCTGCTTTGAGGGGCACTGTCCACGAGTCTTGAAACGCTACTGCACTGCTACGGTATTTATTTTGTACCAAACAATGTTGAGACACATAGAAACACCTTCTGTGGCTTACCCCTCAGGCGCTGGCAGGACCACGAGACCTAGACTGTACTTTGTCGCTGACCATGTGCTTGAGGCGCTGGTAATACCTGCCAGACGTCAGAATACGTATTTTTTGCATGACTTGCGGCAAGATGCCTGAACACTTAAATGAATGTGCGCGTTGCCCGAACGATCACAAGGGCACACAGGCCCCGCGAAGATCTTGTTCGTGAGCGGACGGCCAGTGTGACCATTCCAAACCTTTTCGTTCCCAAACCGCTGGAAACCCATGTCGTGGAGCCTTGGGCGACAAGTTAAACAACAAACAACCCCAGCTCGAAGCTCTTGCTGGCAGTCGACACCAAACACTAAAGTATTCCTCGTTTGGACTGGTTTGCCTCAGTGGCCAACCTGCTGCTGATGTCTTTCACTGTGACTCGCGTGAAAGGCGTGGCCTCAGAAACTTGCGTAGCACCACGATGGAAGTTCGTCGTCGGTCAGAAACCAGTCATTTTGGAGTGGCCGCGGCCGTTGACCTATATCCGCAGCTTCATGAAGCTCACACACTCGGGCTAAAATGTATTTGGTCTGATTGCACCACCCCCAAAGGCCTGAATGAAAAAGGTTCCTGAGTAAACATCAGTAAAACCCTCAAAGTCCTGAAGAAGCCATCAGAGATTCAAAGACGCCGTCAAGTCCAAAGTTTCAAATACGCGACTGCCGACGTTCTAGTTGGGAACGGCAAGTGGGGAGTAAACGTGAAAACGCGGGTATATTCGTGGACATCTCCAATGATATCACAGAACGTCATAGCCGTCTTCGTTGGCTGCAGAACTATGACATTCCCTGCAGGCCCCTGCTTGTAAAAGAAAAAACAAAAACGAGAGGTGAACAAATAAAGCCCGGTGGCCCAGTGACTCCATGGGCTTCACACACACGCCTCCCCAGAGGGGAGGCAAATTTAAGTGTACATGTGCGCGCCAAAGGGCAAAGGACAAACACATGATAGAGAGACATGAAAACGCCATGCGCAGTATGTACGGGCAGTAAGAGGGAACCAAGTCTCACTGCAATGCCTGCGAATGCACCGCAGGGCAATCTTTTGCTAAAAAAGGGCTTGAACTCGAGGTGCACCTTTTGGCGCCGGCGAAACACGTGCATCTTCAGCCATGCGGTTTCACGAAGGTCATGGTGCTTCTTGTACATGCGTTTTGTCACTGGGAGTATTTTCTTTCGTGGAACCGCTGCCGAGTGCTTTCAGCTGGATGAACGGTCGCTTCAGCCATGCGGCCATGTCATCCCTGAGCTGCCTTGTGCATTTTGTGAGGCCGTCTGCCCACATCAGGTTTGTGGGACACCAAAAACTGGTGCTGGAGTTATGAACTCCTGGATCGACCTGATGTCTATATACATGTGTCCTTTTCTCGGCTGTTCGCGGGTTTTCCGCGGAAACCGCGTCAAACAAACTCCTGCAATCCGTCACTTGCGGCTGCTGCAGCTTCCACTTCTTGGGGTCCCGGTGGAAGGCGGTGCCGGTCAAGAGCTCATTGAGGACAAGCAAAACGTAGTGGGCACGGTCAACGCAGTCATCGCAAGCTATCGACTCTGCCGCTAGAGTCGAGCGGCAAACTCGGCTTGACCGATTGGAGCGCCAATCGACGATGTTGCCCTTGGTGATGACCTGAGTGCAGAGAGGCGTCGTGAGGAGCACGATACATCCCTGTTGGGACGCACACTGAGCTGCATTCGCCCAGGAGCTGTCGGCGTACCCGACGATGGTTGTGGCTACTTGGTTGATCGCCACATCTTGGAAGGTGAGTTGTGTAGTCCAGGGTGGCATAGAGTTGAGCAAGCTCGCCCTGTGTCTTTCCCTTTGTTGGCCAATGAGACCCAGGCAGCCAGTTCTGGTCGAGCCTGCGAGCCACTGGATGGGTCCCGTCAGGGATCGGAAGGAGAGTGGTGGCCCCTCCTGGATGCGTCCTTTGCGGACTTGTCCTGGCTCACTGTTGGCTATGAGCTGTTTCTGAGTGACGGCCACGTCAAACTTTGGGACGTCCTTGGCCGGTGGAAGGTCGGCGTAGATCTGGTGCTCCACGGTCAGGACCTGTGCCGAAGTAGTCATAGTGTTTGCCAAGCGTTTCATCCGTCCCACTCGAATTCGTGAGCTGTCTCTGCTTCCGAGTCCATGTTGTAGTGCGCTGCCATGGTAGTTGTCGTGACTCGGCTGTGAGAAGGCTCCAAGCATCGATCTCCTCCTCTGGATGGTCGGACTCCTCCAGGTTCAAAGGCGGTGGCTCCAGATAGCCTGCTTGCTGTCGAGGTGCCTGGCTGGGTTTTGCGCGCTGCTGCCTCTTGGGTGTAGCGGCCGCCAAAACTGTCTCCGGCATTAGAGGGAAGTTCGAAGGCACAGGACCTTGGTGATAGTCCACGTGTACCAGGCGTCGGTTGATCTCCCATGATCCGTCCACAACAGCGCTGGAGGAAGGCAGTGGCAACGGTGAGGAACCCGATGCTGTGACGAAGTACTCCAGCCTTGGAGTCCACTTCCATTTCTTCTTGCGCTCCATGCACTGTATAGGAGCCATGGCGATTTCCGGACCGCTTGATGCGTCGATGATCGCAAGCTGGTCCTGCCAATGGGGCGGTCACTTGTGCCACTGGGGCCGCCTTGGCCTTGGCCTTTCTCTTTGGAGTTGCCGTCGAAGGAGTCGAGGAGATAGCCAGGGGCGCCCGCAGGAATCTCTGAGCACGGCGTGCCCACTCCATAGTCCGCTTGACCAGGTGGCGCAGATCTTTCGAAAAAGACTGCCACAAATGAACATGTTCAAAGCTGTTGAACTGCATGACATCAATCGCTAGATTGCCAAACTTCCTGGCCTGTATGACGGAGGTGGTCGTCGATCAGGGAAACCTGACAAGGGTGGAGGGACAGGTCGATGGCCCGGCCACTGAAACATCATCACATCCTTCACGGTGTCAAAGTCCAAAGTCTGCATCGCCCCGATGAGGACTTGTCGTTGATGTTCACGACTCAGACGGGCTCGCTCCAGGAGGCGGGCTCCGCGAGCCTCAGAGTCATACATTTGTTCTACGTTGATCCCCAGGTGAGGTGGACAAATGTCCGCACCACCCTCCTCCTATAGCGGTTGATGAAAGGCCTCATGGCCTCAGCGGGACCTCTACTGATGTGCTCATAGTCGGCAAGGATGTAGTTGACTCCCTCGTTGGAGAACAGCTTGTCCACGGGGCGTCTTCAAGTTCCTCTTCCAATTCCCCTTTTAGGGATTGAAACAGAAGGATGCCAGTCTCGCGGATGGGGACGTAGTTCTGGACCTGTAGCATCCACATGCGCACGCGCTTTTCCCACTTCTGGTAGGCGCGCAAGTCGCCCTTCTCGTAGTGCCACTGGGGCGCCGGCGGAACAGCTCCGCCCCTGAACTTGACCCCAGGTTGGGGCCTTTCAACGTGTTCCAAGTGGTCTTCCCCGAGGAGGAGGTGTCGTTCTTCTTCTTGATGTCCTCGAGGGTGATCACATCATTGGGATCTGGCTCACTCTTTCTTCGAGATCCACCTCTTCGGCTTCGCCGGTTCGATGGTCTTGAACCGTTCCCAGGTGATGCAGCAGCAGCAGCAGCAGGGGCGCCAAGTGGATCAGCAGGGAACGTGGATCAGCTCGTTGATGTTGGTTCTCAGAAGGGGTGACCGTTGGGTCCCATGTCAAAGCCTCACTCTCGGCTTGCTCAGAACCGAGGGGCTCGTTGCCATCAGGCGGAAAGGGATCAGGTACTCTTTGGAGTCCGGGAGGATGCCGTAGGCGATCGGCAGGATGATGACCTGGTAATCGATGAGTTTCAGGATCATTGCCATGGGGTACTCGTGAAGGTCCTCGCGGAAGCCGCCATTGGGCATAGTCCCCATTGGTGTAGTCCTGAATGGAGTCGTCGTAGGTCGGGCATAGTATTGGGCTCGTTCATAGGTATGCTGGGCGGTCGAAGGCTGAGGTGTGAAGAACCAGCCTGCTTGACCAAAGGCGCCGGCGCTGGCGCGGTAGTCCGCGTGGCCGCACTCGGTGCAGTGCCATTGCCCTCTGTCAAAGCGAAAACCATCATGACCACAGTTCTGACATACACACTGCGTTGAGGCATCGCTGTGGGTGGTGAACTCATAGCTATGCGATGTGGAATCCATACGGTAGGTCTGTGGTGGGTCATCTGCAGTCGTGCCTTGATGGTGGTCAGGTGGCTCATCGTCTTCAGGCAGCGGCCTCCTCTGCAAGCGCGGCTGCCACCCAGCAGCTCGTGGAAAGGCCATGGGATCGGCAGGCGCAAGGATGGGCTCGTGAGCCCGCGGTAGCCCGCTTTGGGGCTCCGCTACCAACTCACTGCAATGCTTGCGAATGCACCGCAGGCCAATCTTTTGCTAAAAAAGGGCTTGAGCTCGAGGTGCACGTTTTGGTGCCGGCGAAACATGTGCATCTTCAGCCATGCGGTTTCACGAAGGTCATGGTGCTTCTTGTACATGCGTTTTGTCACCAAGTGAACAGGGACAACCAATGCCAAACCTCCTTTTCCAGAACCTGAGCACCTCAACCTGGTTTTAATGTAACTGTGCACGTGCAAGCTAAGGACCCGACGCCCGACGAGTGTGTGCGCAAAAGAGAGAAAGGATGAGAGAGGAAAGAAATGACGAGACATGAAGGCGGAGAAGCCACGAAAAGAAAAAAACAAAGGACAAGAAAGGTGTGTGAGGCAACTGAGAGGGGAACCAGATGAAGGGGACAGTCCGGATGAAGCCGTACCTTGTTATAGAATCATTAGAGCGAACCACCTAGCCTCGTTAAGTGTGGATGAGACGCGCAATTTGCATGCTAGATTAAGGTCCCGACAGGGAGCCGCTGATCCCAACTGACGTACAGGTCTTAACCCACGTTTGTCATAAGACTCCTATGCCCGCCGGGCACGTTCCCCTCCGGCAAGAGTTCCAGCACAGAGGGGACGACGACTCTTGCTTTGACCAGGACCGAGGGGGCTACTTCGGGCTCTCGAGTCTCGAGGAGAGACACACGGGATATATAAAATGCGTTTGGTCTGATTGCACCTCTCAGAAAGGCCTGAGTGAAAACATGTTCCTGAGTATACTAAAGGATAACGTAAGACGGTCTAAACATCTGTAGCCCTCAACATTGATAGATCCCTCAAAGTCGTTGAGAAGCCATCAAAGACGCACTCAAATCCAAATCCAAACTGCTAAATACGTGAGGCGCAATGGCCAGAGTTCTTGTTCTCGTTATGTGATAAAAACGGGGCCAAGTGGGGAGTAAGAGTCAAAAGGATTCAAAAAGGCAGGTAAATTGGTGGACGTCTCCAGCGGTATCGCAGAACGCCATAGATCTTCGTTGGCTGCAGAACTATGACATTTCCTGCAACCCCCTGCTAATGCCAAGAAAAGGGTCAAACAAAACGTGAGCTAAAGAGCCACCAGTGACTCCGCACTCGTGAAATTGGAGCGTGCAATCGGAGGTGGCCACCACCCTCAAAGGCATAAGGGAAAAACTATGGGGTAAAGCCAGGTCCCGGCCGGTGAAGCCCCCCCCCACACACACACACACACGACCCCAGCCAAGGGAAGGTCTCAGGGTCGTTGGTATCATATCCCATATGCAAAGTTGAAACGGCGACAGCACTTAGAGAGGAAAAATACATTGGCCTTGCGAAGCGGCGCAAATCTTTCACAAGTGGAGTTGCAGGCAAAAACCGGACAGGCAGAAAGGAGAGGAAAAGGTTGATTTCAGGCGCGAAGAAGCCGCGGAAAAAGACCAATACCGCAGCTCCAAATTGTTGTAAAATAATGTATTATCAATATTCATATACTGTAACTAGGCCCTCATATGAGAGACGCGCGCTTGAATTTGAAGGTTGCCCCCTTCCTTGAAGGCCGCAGGAAAAGATTGTCTGAGTAAACCAGGTCCCAACACAAGCAGAACTCACCTTGCCCAAAAACTTCGTTTAAGAACTTACCCACCTTGCCTGCTTGCCTGAAGCTCCGGTCGTCACGGTCGTCCGTTACGGACATGTCTCCTTACCGTCACGGAACCCGCCATGAGAAATTAGCATCCGCGGACCGAGTTGTTTTGCATGAAGGCCTGAATGAATTAACGGCCGAGTAAACCAGGGTACTGGTAATCCTACACAGTGGTGTATGGTCGCCCAAAGCCCAAAGCCCAAAAGGAGTTTTCAAGCTCGAACAGCTCAAGCGCTCAAGCCTTTCCAAACTTCGAGTCGATAGAAAGTCGAATGATTACCAAACGTCGCAAACAGGGTGCACCAAGTTGATCAAACCTGGCTTCCATCGCCGCGTATGAAAAGATAGAAAAGTTAACCTCTTACTCCCAGGTGCACATGCGCACACACACACACACACTGCAGTGAAAAGGAATGACACGTGACACGCGTTGTGGTAAACCTAGAGTCCTAGGAATACGAACTTATCTTGTAAAGCAAAGTAATTACACACGAGCATGTGGAAGTCCTTGGCTTAGCCTCTTGCCACTCAGCACAAAACAAGTACAGGTACGTCTGGCTTCGGATTGCACATCTGGATATCAACATATACCACGCAATGTAGTTTAACGTAGCTTTTTCGACCCAGTCCCGCAATCTGATGAAAAACATACAAAGTTGGAATGTGGATGATGAGGATGCAAATACAATCAAATACACATGAAGACTGGTATAAAAATATTAGTACTTTACACACACACAAGCCCCCGGCATCACCTTGGCAACCGACCAGCGCACCAACCTGCAAGAACATGTTTCCGCTTTCAAGCAGCAACCTTGAAAAAACATAGATTTGCTGTACAGCATTCAATTTCATAGCATAGTCATATACTCGTCAAGGAAGATTTGCTTCAACCTGTCTGTGACTGTGTATCTTAACAAAAAGTGAAAGTGCAGTTTCTGCTTCGGTCTGCCTTCCCGGTGAGCTGCTCCACCAAGTGCCCAATCGTCATTCGAGAAGGAATGGCGTGAGGATTCATGATCTGGCGCGAATAAACAAATTACAGCAGTCCGCTCCATCCCCAAATGTTCAAAATGTTCCAAATGTGCAAAAACGCATAAGCTCCCCCGCAACTCCCACAGGTCAAAACTTGCGACCCATACATTGATGCTATACATCAAGCAACACTCGAGCAAAGTTCTTTTCTACAGTGTAACGTAGCGTGTTATTATTGAAGGGCACCTACGCCCAAGCGCGCTTCGCCGACATCTCCACAGTACAGAGACTACGGCGCACATAGGTAGTGCCCTTGCCTAAGCAGAAACCTACGAACGTGAGGCTTTTGTTCTACATTGGGCAGTTTGTCGACGATAGAAATTTGGAACCTGTTTAGCATCTTGGACGTGCCCACAAGCAGCAAACAATCAAACAGCAAACCTGTTAATCTTGAAGCGAGGAGGAAAGTGAAACTGTTTTTGAACAAACAACAACAACAACAACAACAACAACTACTACTACTACTACTCCTGCTACTACTACTACTACTACTACTACTACTACTACTACTACTACCTACTGCTACTGCTACTGCTACTCCTACTACTACTACAACAACAACTAATACTACTACTACTACTACTACTACCACGACGACGACTACGACTACGACCACGACGACGACGACTACTACTACGACGACGACTACTACTACGACCACTACTACTACTACTACCACAACTACTACTACTGCTACTATTGCATCCTACATCCTACATCCTACGTCCTACATCCTAACCTGCAACCTGCTACCTGCTACCTGCTACCTCCTACCTACTACCTACTACCTACCTACTACTACTACTACTCCTCCTACTCCTCCTCCTCCTGCTCCTACTACTCCTACTACTCCTACTACTCCTACTACTCCTACTACTACTACTCCTACTACTGCTCCTACTGCTCCTACTGCTCCTACTGCTCCGACTGCTCCGACTACTCCTACTCCTACTCCTACTCCTACTCCTACTACTCCTACTCCTACTCCTACTACTACTACTACTACTACTACTACTACTACTACTACTACTACT